GGACCAATGTGTTTCTGATACAGGTCATGGTCTTTCTAATTACTTGCTATGTATCTGAGAGCTGGACAGTAAATAAGGATGACAGAAAAAGAATTTATGTGTTTGAGCTGTGATGTTGGAGAAGAGCACTGAACATCCCATGGACAGCCAGGAGAATAAACAGTTATGTCTTGGAGAGGGTGCAGGCAGAATGTTTTTTGGAGGCAAGAATGATGAGGCTTCGCCACATATACTTTGGGCACGTTGCTAGAAGGGGATATTCCTTGGGGAAGGACATGATGCTGGGAAGGGTGGAGGGTTGTCAAAGGAGAGGAAGACCCTTAACTAGATGGATTGACACAGTGACTACTGCAGTGGGCTCTTGTGTGTCAGGAAGTGTAAAGATGGCACCAGATAGAACAGGATTCCAATCTTTTGTTCATTCATAGGGTAACTATGAGTCTTACTCAACTGGAGGGCACCTAACAACAAGAAGTACATTCTCATCATGGAATAGTACACAGCACTCAGGAACAACGATTTGGAAAAATATAACATGGTAGAGGCTAGAGAGAATTATGCTGAGTGAACTATCTCAGATGCATAAGAACAAATACTGTATAAGACCATTATTGTAAAAACAGAAAGATAATCATTAGATATGTATCAATATCCAAAGAGGAAAGGAGAGGGGTACTGAAGGTGTTGTTCTTGTTGTTGTTATGTGCCATCGAGTCGCCTGTGACTCATAGTGACCCTATGTACAACAGCCCTAAACTCCGCTCTGTCCTGTGCCAATCGCACTGTCTCTGACACTCCCATCCCAATTATCCCATTCACTGAATCAATCCACCTCATAGAGGGCCTTCCCCTCCTGCGCTGTCCCTCCAACCTCCCAAGCATGATGTCCTTCTCCAAGGACCGGTCTCTCCTCACAACATGTCCAAAGTATGTTAGACGGAGCCTCAGAATCCTTGCCTCCAAGGAGCCACCCAGTTTAACCCTTTCCAGGACAAATCTGTTTGTTTTCCTAGCAGTCCACAGTATTCTCAATACTCTTCTCCAGCACCACAGCTCAAAGGCATCAATTCTCCTTCTATCCTCCTTGGTCATTGTCCAACTCTCTGATGCATAACAGGTGATTGCGAAGACCATGGCCTGTATCAGACGCACCTTAGTCTCCAAAGAGACACCATTGCTCTTCAGTACTTTGGAGAGGTCCCTAACTGCAGACTTTCCCATGGCAATGCGCCTTTTAATTTCCTGGCTGCTGGTGCCAAGACTGTTGACTGTGGAGCCAAGCAAACTAAAGCTGTGTACAATCTCAATCTCTTCACCATCCATGCTGATGCTGCCAATTGGTCCAGTGGTGAGAATCTTTGTCTTCTTGACATTGAGCCTCAATCCATATTGTTGGCTGCAGTCCTTGAGGAAATCATAGGATCATAAAGTTTGGTGAGTGGAAGGAGAGAGAAAAACAATGTATATGAATGAAACAATTTTTAATTTTTTTCTCATTAAACTTTGTTCTAATGAGTCTCAAACAAGTGACAAATTTCTGGTAAAGTTGTTTCCATTAAAAAAAGCACTGATTTTAAAAACTAATAAAACTGCCACATGAAAAAGAAAACAAATGGTCCACAAAGCATCCTTTTCCTTTTGAAGGTTTTAACAATTAATTGTTAATATTAACCAGTCTTATGCTATTAAATTTAAATGGCCTATTGAGAAAAGCAGTTCTGAGAGCATTTCTACACCCCTGATTGACTGGGGTGGCAGGTGTTCTGTTAATACTCATTTCGCCCTCTGAACTTTCTGAGTAGACTTGCCAGCCCCAACAGCCTTCTTGTCCACTGCTTTGATCACACCCACAGCAACAGTCTCATGTCAGGGACAGCAAAACAACCCAGAGGAGATAGAAAAGCTCTGCACACACATGAGCTTGACAGGAACCATATTAAAAAAGGCAACATCACCAGCCTTCAAGTATTTGGGACCATCTTGCAGCTTCTTACCAGAACCGCAATCAGTCTTCTCTTTGAACTCAGCAAACTTGCAAGCAATGTGAGCTGTGTGAAAATCCAGCACAGGTGCATAACCAGCATTGACTTGGCCAGGATAGTTTAAGATGCATCTGAGAAGTGAAGCCAGCTGCTTCTATTGATGGGTCATTTTTGCTGTCACCAGCCATGTTGCCACATCAAACATCTTTCACAGATGCTCTTAACGTTGAAGCCAACATTGTCACCAGGCAGAGCTTCATTGAAAGCCTCATAGTGCATTTCAACAAACTTCAGTGGTAACAATGTCTGGGGCAAATGTGACCATCATGCCAGGCTTGAGAAAACCAGTCTCCATCCTGCCCACAAGGACAGTACCAATACCACCACCAATTCTATAGACACACTGTAGAGACAGATGCAGGGGCTTAATTGAATAGATACAGAGTAAGGATACTGCCATGATGCACCCTTTTCATAATTTTAATCCATGTTGTGTGACTCTATCTGTGGAAGAAATCATTGGAGAAGCTCAATATTGGCAGTTACAACTAGACAGTGGGCTTTCTGCGCAACCTACACAAGGGTTCATACGGTGTGCTCTGGTTCCCACTGTAATTTAAAGGGAAAACCTACACTATGTCCCGAGCTCTTGCTGTCCTGCAGATGAAGGAGGGGGATGTCCTCAAATTCCTTGCAGCAGGAACGCATTTGGGCGGCACCAACTTTGGCTTCCAAATGGAACAGTACATCTACAAAAGGAAAAGTGATGGCATCTACATCATAAACCTGAAGAGGACATGGGAGAAGCTTCTTTTGGCTGCTTGCACCATTGTTGCCATTGAAAATCCAGCTGATGTCAGTGTCATATCCTCCAGAAATACTGGCCAGAGAGCCATGCTGAAGTTTGCTGCTGCTACGGGGGCCACTCCTATTGCTAGTCCCTTCACTCCTGAAACCTTCACTAACCAGATCCAGGCAGCCTCCCAGGAGCCTCATCTCCCAGTAGTTACTGATCCCAGGACTGACCACCAGCCTTTGACAGGAACATCTTACCTTAATTTGCTCACCATTGCCCTGTGTAACAAAGATTCTCCCCTGTGCTACGTAGACATTGCTATCCCATGCAACAACAAGGGAGCTCACTCCGTGGGTCTGATGTGGTGGATGCTGGCCCAGGAAGTCCTGCGTATGCGTGGCACAGTCTCATGGAAGCACCCATGGGAGGTCATACCTGATCTGTACTTCTACAGAGATCCAGAAGAGATTGAAAAGGAAGAGCAGGCTGCTGCTGAAAAGACTGTGACCAATGAGGAGTTTCAGGGAGAATGGACCGCCCCTGCTCCTGAATTCACTGCTACTCAGCCTGAAGTTACAGACTGGTCCGAAGGCATCCAGGTGTCCTCTGTGCCGATTCAGCAGTTCCCTACTGAAGACTGGAGCGCTCAGCCTGCAACTGAAGACTGGTCTGCAGCCCCCACCGCTCAGGCCACTGAGTGGGTGGGCACCACCATGGAATGGTCTCAAACTGTCCTTTAAAAAGTGGAAATGAGGGTGAATGAAAATAAACAACACGTTTTGTAAAAAACAAACAAAACCCAAAACACCAAAACTAGAGAAAGGGAAAGACCATCGATTACTCATATGCAAGTTCAAATTGAGGCCTAAGAAAATGAAAATAAGTTCATGAGAACCAAGATATGATCTTGAAACTATTCTATCTAATTTCAGGATCATTTTAGGAATAGGTTTGAGGCATTGAACACCAATGATCGAAGACCAGGTGAATTGTGGGATGACATTAAGGATATTATCCACGATGAAAATAAAAAGTCATTACAAAAACAGAGGAGAAACACTGAAATGAATGTCAGAAAAGACTCTTAAAATTGCACTAAAGTAAAAAAAAAATTGCACTAAAGTGTCAAGAAGCCAAAACATGCAAAAGCACTGAACAGTAGATTTCAAAAGGCAGCTCAGGAGGACAAAGCAAAGTACTACACAAAAATATACAGAGAGTTGCAAGAGGAAGAACTCTCTCTGCATGTCTCAAACTGAGAGAACTGAAAAACAAACCTCAAGTTGCATTATTGAAAGATGCAATGGAAAATATTGAACAAAAAATTGAACAACCCAGAAAACATCAAAAGAAAATGGAGCGAACATACAGAATCACTGTGCCAAAAAAACTCCTAATGAAACATTAAAAAATGTTGAGAAGTTCCATATGAGCAGGAGCCAATGGTAATGAAAGCTGGAGTGGAAGCTGCATTGAAGGCACTGACAAAAAATAAGGCCCCAGGAATAGATGGGATACCGATTGACTTGTTTCAGTTAAAAGATGCAGCCTTGGATGCATTCACCAGTCTATACTAAGAAATTTGGAGAACAGCTATCTACCAACAAATTGGAAGAAGTGCATATTTTTTCCCATTCCCAAGACAAGATGATCCAACAGAATGTGGAAGCTATTGAACAATATCACTATATCACATGCAAGCAAAATACTGCTGAAGATTATTGAAAGCGAGCTAGAAAAGTGCATCGATAGGGAACTACCAGAAGTCCAGGCAGGATTTAGAAAAGGCCATAGCACAAAGGATATTCATTATTGCTGATGCCAATTGTATCCTAGTGGAAAGTAGAGAATGCCAGAAGAATGTGTCTATTTGTGTTTTGTTGACTATGTAAAGGCATTTCACTGTGTGGATCATAACAAGGTGTAGCTGACACTGATAATAAGAATGGGAGTCCCAGAGAACTTAATTGAGTTCATGCAAAACCAATGCCTGGACCAGGAAGCTATTGTGAAAACAGAGCAGGGAACTGCATGGTTTAAAATTAAGAAGGGAGTGTGTCAGGGTTGTAGTATCTCTATATACCTATTCAATATGTATGCTCAGCAAATTGTTCAAGAAGCTGGACTCTATGAAGAGGAATGTGGCATCAGAATTGGAAGGAGTCTCAACAATATCCAGCACTACGCACATAACACAACGTTCCTTGCCAAAAGTGAGGAGGACTTGAAGCACTTGTTGCAGATTATCAAAGAATGCAGCCTTCAGTATGGATTGCATCTTAATGTCAAGAAAACAAAGATTATTACCATTGGACCAATATACAGTATCATGATGGATGGAGAAGAGATTAAAAGTGTCAACAACTTCATTTTAATTGGATCTACAATTAACACCCTTGGTAAACGCAGTCAGGAAATAGGAAGACACACTGCACTGGGAAAGTCTGTAGTTAGGGACCTCTCCAAATTATTGAAGATTAATAATGTCTGTTTGAAGACTAAATTGCTTCTGATACAAGCCATGGTCTTTCCTATCCTTCCTGTGAATCTGAGAGCTGCACAATGAGTAAGAGTGACAGAAGAATTGATGCCTTTGAGCTGTAGTGTTGGAGAAGAGCATGGAACATCACGTGGACAGCCAAAAGAACCAACAAATATGCCTTGGAAAGGTTTAGCCACAATGTTCTTTGGAGGCAAAGATGATGAGGCTTCATCTCACATACTTCAGGTCTGTTGCTAGGAGGGGCTATTCCTTGGAAAGGGACATGATACTTGGAAGGGTGGAGGGTCGGAGAGGAGAGGAAGACCTTCAACCAGGTCATTTAACATGGTGACTGCTGCAATGGGCTCTAGTGTGTCAGGAGTTGTGAGGATAGGACAGGATAGGACAGGTTTCAGATCCTTTGTTTACAGAGTCACTATGAGTTATACTTGACTTGACAGCACCTAACAACAACAATGTTCTTTTGCTCTGATCACACAATAGCCTCTTGATCTAGGTTTAAGTTTCACATGAGCACATCTAAAGTTCTAGGATTCCCATTCTTCCCAAAGTTTGCTAAAACTTGTTATGATTTACAGAGTCAAATGTCTTTGCATAAATAATCAGGTTGCGTAGAGGGGGCATAAAGAAACCTTGACTGGCAAAGAAGTTGGACAGCTAAAGTGTCCATAAAATCCCCACCCATTTCCCAGGTAACATTGAAGACCCCAAAACTGTGCGGGATCCGGGATCCTATCTACACACCAGTTCTACTAGACACATCACTTTTGCTCGAGAAACATTACCACTAAACTTCAGAGACACTGGTCACAACATAAGAAACTACCAGCAGCTGACATGTTTGGAATCA